TAATATAATTTTATTTGGAAAAAATTTCTAGTAGTCCATCAAACTCTTTCAAAGATATATCCTATGTCACACGAAACACCATGTGGTACTTAATGCCATCTTAATCTTCCTAGGACCACATTATGGACCATCTCAACTGGATCAATATCATGTCAAGCCATCAAGGCTGGAACTGTCGGCAGTGCCCGGCATTAGCTGGTGGAGTTTATCGGAGGTTTTTTTTTTTTTTAATATTATTTATGGATCAAATTTAAATTTTATTAAAAAAATTTAAAAATTACTTTTAAAAATAATAAAAATAAATAAAAAGAAAAATTATAAAAAATAAAAGTTTAAAATTTTTTAAAATTTATTTTTTAAGATTTTTTTAATATTAAAAAAATTTAAAAATATAAAATTTTAAAAATATAAATTAAATTTATAAAATAAAAATAATATCAAAAAATTAAAAAAACATACAAATTTCATTAAATACGCGCTTCGTCGCCTTAGAGGGAGAAGTACTCTGCCATTCTAAAGTCAGGGAGGATGGGGCAGAGGCGGTGGGGGGCGGGTCCATCCCGTTGAAAATTTTGTACCCCGCTGTCAGTACCCAGTCATATAGGACATTTGTCAATTTCCATTCAAAAGATGTTCAATGTTTATCATTATGATAAATTTTTTAAAAGTTTGAATTTTTAATTTGGTTTTATAATTATTATATAAATATTTTATTTAATTTTTATAATTTATGAATTTAATTTTAAATTAATTATTTTATATAAAAATAAATAATATATTTTATTATTAATGTGATATATAATAATTATATAATAATTTTTAATTATTAAATAATAAATACATCAATTATTTTTAATAAAAAAATTAATTTTGAGTCAAATTAATAAATAATAAAAATTAAATAAAAAATTAATATAATAATTAAAAGATCAAATTAAAGATTTAACTTTAAAAAAAATAAAAACAAACTATAAAATCTTAACAAGAAAAAGAACTCTTGTGCACTTTCATTCTTTATCCAACTATTTTTATTTTGTAGTCTGTACAGTAAAATATGAAATTTAAATCTTAAACATAGTACTCTAATTATGGAGAATAGCGAATTTATTCATACAATTGAGCAGGAAGGGAGGGGTTAAGACTTGGAAGGAGTTCAAGAGGAGTGGCTTTGAGATTGGTAAAGGCCGTAGATCTCCACGGGCTCTTGGCACAGAGAGTGCAAAAAGCAGAGTATAAAATTGTTTCCTTGAGAATCGCTGAAGCTGAAGATCGGAGTCTTGAACTCGCCTTTTCCTACCGACCCAAGTGTCCAGTTCTCGTTGGGACTTCTTCAAGAGTCAAGACATCGCGGTTGAGGATTAAGGAGAGCCCATGTTGATGTGACTGTGGTTGCATCTGATCCACCTAGTATGTTCATCTAACAACCTTGGGCCTGGCCCGTTCATACTAAAATGAAAATAAATTCAAAAAGAGCGTGGGGAAGTTTGGTCGCTGTACTGATATTTTATTTGTTTATAAATTTTTTAAGTAATTAATTATTTTATTTAAAAATATTAATTTATAAATTAATTTTAATATTTTAAGTAATAGATATTAATAATTTTTAATAATCAACCTAAATAAGGGTCAGTGTTTTTAAAAATAAGACAATATTAATAAATTTATGTAATCATAATCACACCTAAATCTAGTCCTAAAAAACTTTTGGTAAATTAATTCTGTGATTCTTGTTAGCTAAGCTACCTCCCTTACCAATGTACTCTTCTAATTACGAGTAATTTTTTATGATCTTCTATTTAATAAAATTAGTGCTATATTTCACATCTGACTTTTCGGTATAGTGACATTAGCCACCTTGATAAATGTATCTCCCAATTTCTTAGGTTGGGTTTGATCCTCCACCCCTTCATTTCAGACCTGTTCAAAAAAAAAAAAAAAAAAATGCTGTATTCTTTTGATGAAATAAACGGGGCCCTCGAGATATAAATATTATAAGTTTCCGTCGCTATCTACTACCAGAATAAAGTTGCCCCATTATCCAGTCTACTGAAAACCGGTAAATAATAGTATAACCAAATAAATTCTGGAAAAGAGAGTTGTAGAGTTTGAAATATATTATATTATATAATATTAATTATTAAACGAGGGTTAAATATTTTGTTCTCTTTTCTCTCTACCTTTACTTTTTATTTTTTCCTTTCTCTTGTTTAAGAAAATTTTTATCTTTTTGTCTCCATACTCTACCATCTTTCATTTTCTTTCTTTCTCTCACTTAAATATATCATTTTACCTTTTTCTTTTATCCTTAAAAAGAATGTAAAGGGGCTAGTGGTTTTGTATTTCTTATTGATTTAGGGGCAATTTAAGTCTTAAGAATATTAAAAACTTTCATAAAATGACATTTTATTGTGAGCAAATTGTAATTCTGTTTAGTTTAAAGGGCATTTTGGTTAACATGACTTTGTGAGGGAGTTGTAATTTTTTTTTTTTTAAGTTTGGAGAGCATTTTGGTTGGTAGATTTAAGCTTCATTTAGTATGATTATGGTTGTGGTTTTAGGTTTTTAATTTTGGTTTCAACATTCAAACAATCAAAATTAATAATTGAAAACTAAAATTAAAAATTAAAATGAATAACTTATTAAATATAAAATTTTAAAATTAATATCTAGTATTTAAAAGTTAATTATTATATAGAATTTTCTAATTTTATTCTAAGATATCTAAATTTTTGAAAACCAAAACCAAAATCTCAAAATCCTAACAATATTAAACGAAATCTTAGTAATTATAATTATCTTTTTATGTAGGGGTTAAATTATCAAAACCTCCCTATTTGTAATGAATCTCTCTTATCATATCAGTTTATCTTTTGAATAGCCAACTTTTGACAAAATCAAAAATAAATTAATTTGGAGATACACAAACTAATTTGAGGACATCTTTAAAACTTATAAAAAAAAAAAAAAAATTTCAGCCTATCCTTTCTCCACAAATTCTCTCCTTCTACAAAACCTCCATTCACCTTCTTCATTTCATCTCTGGCCATTAACTTTATTTTCGATGTCTCCTGAACACCCTCACCATCACAAAGACTTCACTTTTCCCCTTTTCTTTGCCCCTTTTTCTTTATTTGGATCACTGTTGAGTTTGCATCCATCATGAAGTCAAGAGGGAGGCTTAGGGGTAGTCCAACAGCCAAACACATCCCAAATTTTTAGCTATATATATATATATTTTAAAGTCGAAATACACCCCAATAAGCTGCAAAGCGGGTTGAGAAATGTTAGTTGGTATAAGTATAGACAACATAAACCAAAAATAATAAAAATTCTAACATGTCTGGTACTGGAGTAGTGTATGAGAGTGACCGAATTATCACATAACTACATTTTAGCATATAAGTACTAGTAATTAAGTTTTTTTTTTTTTTTAACCAGATGCAACTGGCCAACATTATTTGGGGAGAGAAAAAAAAAAAACACAAAACAAAACACACGCATGCAGTGATATACCTTTTTGCTAATGCCCCTAATTAATTCACCTCGTAACAAGCAGCAGGAAGGCGCGGGATTATAAGGACTTCAAGTGGAGCAACTTTAAGATTGGTCAGACCTACTCCTTCCTGCATATCAACTGGTTGGTCTAACAAGGTTGAAATCTCAAATCCGTGCACCAAATTAGCGAGGGTAAGCTGCGTAACTTGAAGCGCAAGGTTGATCCCAGGGCATATCCTCCTCCCACTACCAAACGGTATCAGCTCAAAATTCTTACCCCTAACATCAACCTCCTTATTACTCAACAGAAATCTTTCCGGTTGGAATTCATCAGGATTCATCCACATGGACGAGTCGCGTTGAATTTTAGGAAGATTGATGAACATGCCAATCCCAGCAGGAACATGAAAGCCACTCACAGTGCAATCTTCAGTTGACTGGTGAGGTAATAAAAGGGGTGCAGCAGGGTATAAACGCATTGTTTCTTTGATAATTGCTTGAAGATAATTAAGATTTTTTAAGTCTGATTCGTTCACTTTCCTTTCTTCACCAACAATAGTGTTTATTTCATGTTGCAACTTTTTCAAAGCATACCGATTGTTTAGTAGTAAAGACAAAGCCCATATCAATGTTATTGATGAGGTGTCTATGCCCGCAATGGCCAATGCCTGCCAACATTAATTAATCATTATTAAATTGCAATATAAGCACCCATCTTTGACCGTGGTACCACAAAACAATATATCCAGACAAAAACTTCCATAAAAACCGAAGCTAGAAAAGTTCACACGACTTTTTATCTTTTGACAATTCTAATTAATAATTGAAATTAAAGTTGAATTGTGTGAGAGATTGCGTACCAAACAGGTAGCTTTGATAGTGATATCATCAAGTTGTTCATTGTCGACACCAATAATTGATAGCATAGCATCCATGAAGTCTTCATCGCTTTTGGTTTCATCTGAGATTTTTCGGTGCTTGTGTTCTTGTAACCATTCCTCTGCAAGTTGGTCTAGCTCGGCTGCCGTCTTTTTCATGGTCTTCTCATCACCTCCTATGTCCAACCATCTCAAAAATGGTAAAGCATCTCCTAACACAAACCTCCCACTTAATTCCGTGAATTCCTTCAACAACCTTATCCATCTTTCACTCTCTGCATCACTACTATTCGGCTGCTTCCCTACAATAATCTTCGCCATCACGTTACGACTTACATTCGCAAACCATTTTTCCATGTCCGCCAATGCTTTATCAGAGCTATCTCTCTGTTTCTTCCATAGTCCATATAACTCTTGTAGAGATGCATATATTGTGGATTCTCGAGCATGCCTGAGCATTTCGAGTCGGTAGTTTGAGAGGAGCTCGAGAGTGGCGATCTTACGAACTTGACGCCAGTAAGGTCCATAAGGGGCGAAGCCCATCATGGAGTTGTCGTATCCCAAGAGCTCCGTGCAGACAAATTTTGGTCGACTGGCGAAGGCTTTATCGTTGGTGATGAGGCACTCTTTAGCAATTTCTGAATTATTCACCACCAAAACTTTACGCGAACCCAACTTGATGGTGAAGATTGGTCCATACTTATCTACCATGTTACCGAGGGTAATATGGAGTGGTTGTGACCCTCTAAGGAGGTGGAGATGGCCGATTAGCGGCCATGCACCACCAGCTTGTGGCACCTCTCTCTTCTTGTTCTTGAACAGATAGTTTGATATCCATAGAAGAGAGAATAGGAGCACTGGAAAGAAAAGGATGGCAAACATAGAATATTGTGATGGGAATAAGAGAGAAAGATCCATTAATTGGTAGTTAGGCTTACTTTTGTGCATTTGGGCTAATGAACCTCATTAGAATATATAGAGAATAGACGGTAGATGGGAAAGTATACTCATGGTCCAATGAGCCACTACTATCAATGACGTTTTTTTATCAATAAATAAGATATTATTAAAGAGGTATAAGGGAAATGACGTTTTTTTATGGTTAAATACCTTTTTTGGTCTTTCTACTATAGGAAAAAGCTCATTTTTAGTCTTTATATTGAAAAAAATTTCCTTTTTAGTCCTTAAAGTTTGAAATCCGACCTCTTTTAGGTCCCTCTGTTAAATTTTGGCTTATGTAGCAGGTTAATTAACGAAAAATCCTTTTTTTTTTCTTTACTTAAATTGTGTGGAAAATCCATCTTGCAAAATTTGATGACATGGTCAAATTTTTTACATAATTGCCATTACAAATATTTTAAAGGTTATTTTGTGCTTAAAGGTACTTAATTTTAATTACTTATTTGCCCCCGTCTTCTTCCTCATTCTATCTTATTCTCTCCTTCCTCCAACCTTCAT